AGATACTGAGTTACTTAGCGAGTCGTATTTTGATATTTTGGATATATTAGCGAACAAGAAATAATAATAGGACAAATAGGACATTAACGAGTAAAACATAGATATTAGATCATATATAAACACGCACGCTCTCCGATCAAGTAGAGTTTAAAATGAGCTGTCTTTCTGTATTGTTGGTTTGTTATGTGTCATCCTTAATAACTGTTAATAAGTAGCAAAATTATCAAGAAGAACGATGATAGGTAAGCATACTACCAATTGTAGGGGATACATATTATAATTTGGACATGCGTTGATCGGTAATTTTTTATAAATCGCAGCGCCTACGGAACGGGTTAATTTCTCGCATATTAACGATGAAACTATCCGAGATCTGAACAAAATCAGGGATCATATCGAGGCGAACATTGTTGGACAGGACGGATTGAAACACGCGTTAATTACTCAAAAACTCTTGATTCTGAATAACTATAATTAAATTTCGATATTATGTGAATTGTAAGAATTTATATTTCAATAATTATACTGAAGAAGACCGCGTGCGGTCGAAACGTTTATAGAATGATTGTAATTTGCGTTAGTTTTAATATAATGACTGTAGTTTTATAATTTATACATGTAATAAATGGTAGTTGACTGAACATCTCGAATATTCAGCTCGATAAGTTGGCCTTATATTTATCACTTTGATATTTTTTAATTAGTATTTTTTAATATATAAATTAAAAATAATAAATTATAATTATTTCCTCATTTTTTCTAACATTTATATACAAATAAAGAATAATACACTTTAAATAATATCCCTATAAGCGTATGATATTATTTAATATTTAAGCAATATTCTAGGCATATTTTTAAAATATTTAATATTCTAAGAATACGCCTAGAATATTAAATAATATCATGCGCTTATAGGAATATTTTATTAAATATTAGATAAGGTCGACTATAAATATTTGTCCATAATATAATAAATTATTATAAATAAAACGTGAATAAAATAATGTAGACCAATTATGCAGCGCGTTCGCCGATCTTCGATCATCTCACTGCATCTCTGCAAGGATTAACAACAATCAGAGCTTTCAATGCAGAAAATATATTGATGACAGATTTATGCAGTCATCAAGATCTTCACTCGTCTACCTGCTTTCTCTCCCTAGCTACATCTCGAGCTTTTGGCTTCTACATTGATATGATCTGCCAGATTTATGTAGGAGTGATAATTATAGCTTTCACGATCTTCAAAGATTTAGCAGTAGTTGGAAACATCGGTTTGGCGATCACACAGATCATGTCATTGACAAACCTGTTGCAGTGGGGATTTAGACAAACAGCTGAACTGGAAAGCCAATTGACCTCAATAGAGAGAATTCTTGAGTACAGCCGATTGGAAGAAGAGCCGATGATCGATAGTAAACCGACAGATACCAAACTACCGGACAATTGGCCAACAAAAGGCAATGTAGAATTTAAAAATATAAATTTGAAATACAATCATCAAGGAGAGTACATTTTTAGAGATATTAGTTTCACTGTCCTACCGAAAGAAAAGATCGGTATCGTCGGCAGAACCGGCGCAGGAAAGTCATCTCTGATTAACGCTCTCTTTCGTCTGGCCTGTGTAGAAGGAGAGATTCGTATAGATGATATATCCACTAGCACGATTGCCTTGCATAATTTCCGATCAAAAATCAGTATTATTCCTCAGGAACCATTCTTATTTAGTAGCAGTTTACGTCGAAATCTCGATCCCTTCGATCAGTATTCCGACGCTATTTTGTGGCAAGCTCTACAAGATGTTGAATTAAAAGAGATAATCTCAGAGATGGCAGGCGGATTGAATACGAAAATATCCGAAGGAGGATCAAATTTCAGCGTAGGCCAAAGACAATTATTTTGCCTCGCGCGCGCTATTATCAAGGACAATAAAATTATGGTACTGGATGAAGCGACTGCTAACATTGATCCTTACACGGACTTCCTTATACAACAGACAGTTAAAACAAAATTTATAAACTGCACTGTATTGACTATAGCTCACAGATTGAATACTATTATGGATAGCGATAGAATATTTGTCATGGATGCTGGACGTCTTGTGGTAAGTATAAGTTGAAGAATTAAAACATAATTTCAATAATTTTAGCAATACAATTTTAATTTGATTTTGTAATTTTTCATTCTCTAGATAAAATAGGACAATCAAATTAAGACACCATGACGTTAAAATATTATATACATATTATATACATATATATACCAGAGTTAACGCACCTGTTAATGACAAATTCTTATGAGGATCTTGTGCAGATAATCTTATTTTTTTAAGAAATATCTTGACATCTATAATTTTCAAGTTATAAAAGTGATTGAAAAAGAAAGATCCAATCGTCCTTTTTTCACAACATAAACTTTGAGCTAGAACTAAAAGATTAATAAAACTACATTCTTCAATTAATTTTAGATGTATACCCAGCCAGAAATGAATAATCAAATTGACGTCGAATCGATGTCGAGTCGACATCAATTTATCTAATCAATGTTGATTCAACGATGAATTGACGTAAATTTGTGGTCAAATCGATGTCGATTCGATATCATTTCTGGCTGGGTATATACATATGTGTGTAAAATTTATAGCTTTATTAAAATTTTATTTTAAGACGTTATTATACAATATGATGACAAAATTCAAAACTTACAAAGAATAATCTCTCTCGATATTTCCGCTAAAGAAAAATTGTTTCTCAATTTTAAGATTTTGTTATTATAGCAAATGATATGCTAACTCTATTATAGAATAATTTGTGTATGTGCACGCTTATATTTAAATAAAAAATATGATTACAAAATGAAATTTTTATTTCAGGAATGTGACCATCCATATATTCTTTTACAACAAAAAGGATATTTTTATAACATGGTACAGCAGACTGGTTCTGCGATGGCTGAAAATCTTATCGACATAGCTACAAAAGTAAGGAAACAGTTAATTTAATATATATAACAAAAGTATAATAATTATAATAAAATACAAAATATCCATAGTTAAACATTTTATTTATTTCATTTTTGAAGTGTTATAATTATTTATTATATTTATCAAAGAAAATCTAAAGTTTAATTTCTGTTAAGTTTTATATTTATAAATTTTGCTTCTAATAAATTATGATTGTTTACAGAGTTTTTTATGAAAAGGATACATCGCCATCTAGATGATGTCAATTTTCAATTTTGTGCCAAATTTATCAAAATAATATTTTGTGACACATTTTTATAGATTGATAAATTAATACAATCAAGTACAATATACAAAAATTTCATCAATACAATCAATCAAGTATAGTACATTTTATATTAATAAAATTATTTTTGATGACTTTCTCTTATGTTTTATATTCTGTTGAATTTTTCTTGTACCCATCATAGTCCCAATTTTATATTGCTTTTTAGAAAACTCATAAAAAGAAAAATGTTGGCATAATAAAATAATAAAATATATAAAAATGTAATTTTATGTAAGAAATTAAAGCAGATAAATATTTATTTTAAAAAAGTTATTAAAAAAATAAAAAATTAATAAAATAACCAATGCCTAATTGTGCTATATAACAATTAACATTTATTTTTTCTCATTTTGTTTAGTTTAATATTGTTCTCATTTTGTTTAATCAAATATAATTATGTGCGCGAAACGAAGTTATTATAAATTAAGAGTTTAACTAGGCTCTGTAATATATAAATATAAATTTAACATATATAAGATAGGCAATAAGAGCCAAATCGCGGATGACAGTGCGTTATTCTAAACGAAACTAAATTTTTTCGTTAGTTTCGTTTAGAATAACGCACTGTCATCCGCGATTTGGAAGTTATTATATATAATTCTTTGATAATAAAATCTTAAAAATTGCAACGCATGTATTATATAAAATTATTATTTCAATGCTGGCATAGAAATATATTTATTAATTACATGATTTATAAAAATGTAATATATAAATTTTAACAAAAAACAAAAAATATAATTTTCTACAAGAATCTTTCGATTAAAATATCTACGCTTTCATTAGATTCCCGCGTCTATTCACGTCGGCGACGCTGCACGGCTCGCGCGAGACTGATCATGTAATCATCAGTTTCGCATTCGCGATAACCTTTCCATCAGATTAATACATCTCATACGTCTATCACATTGCGCGGCTCGCGCGAGACTGATTATCGTGTATCGCAAATCGCAAACGCGGGACCGATGGTCACATGACCAGTGGATCCACTTGTCACGTGACTTCGGTTTCGTGCTCGCGATACCTCGCACGAGAATCGAGAATCGCGCGAGCCGCGCAGCGTGACGGACGTATGTGGTGTGGAATCTCGTACGAGTCTAATAAAAACGTAGATATTTGATCACAAAAAATTTTTGTAGAAAATTTTATTTCTTGGTTTGTATTTTCTGTTAAAGATTTAAATATTGAATTTTTATGCGTTGCATAATTAAAATTAATATATATTTTATGCATTGATCCCAGACAGCACCAAATCCAAAATCGGCGCATAAGATATCTTTAAAATATGTTTAAGATGTCTTTCGGATATCATACATAAGATTTCTTAAAGCTGTCTTAAAGATTTCTTAATGATATCTTATGCGCTAATTTTGGGCTTGGTGCTGTCTGGGATTGCAATAATAATTTTTGCATGAATGCGTCGCAATTTTTGAGATTTTATTATCAAAGAATAATATATGTATCTTCTCTTCACGCCTGTAATTATATTCAGTTAGATTAAATATAATAATGAGAAAATAAAAATATATGTATACATATGTATATAGAAAGAGAGATAAATGTATATATTTGATTTTGAAAAAAATTCGAAATTATAATACAAATATTATTTTATTTATGTATTTTAATATTATTTATTACACATTTTATTTACATTTTTGTTACATTTATATATTTTTTATAAGTAAATTCTAACAAAATATATATGTCAAACTGATACTCTTACACAAAATTGCGTAACACAGATAAGTATGCCATCGATGTTTTCACTATCTATAAACAAAATATGTACTAAATATGACTAAATGATAAAAATGTCATATACAACATAGATACAGTTTATTGACTCACACTTGTAAATGTATTCAATGATAATACACAGAATTTTCCAGCAGTCAACACCAATGGTTTCTCAGAACGAGTCATACAAATGCTAAGTAATTTTGTATGCGATGGTGAATTATTGTACCAATTAGAATTGTATAATGCATCACGCAATCCAGTACTCTAAATGACATAAAAAAATTTATTTTTTATAATGAGGAAAATGATTAATATTTGACACATGCTCAAAATGTTTTGTATAGTTATATGTAAGAGATTTCGTTTACCGCGAATAATTACTAATAGCATTAGCTACATTGTATTGCCCATTCCAATTATATATATGGAGCAATTGTCTATAAGCATTGTAAAACTAGGGTTGGTTAATAAATATTTTACAATTTTTTTAAACAAAAATCTATGTATAATAGATGATTACAACAAAAATTATTAACCTTGAAAAATATGTAATATATCACAAAAATGCTTACTGACATATTAATATAATAATTCATATATTATGTTTAGCCAACAACAATATAAATTTTAAAATAGTGTTAATCGTTATTCAAGAAAAAATTAAATTTAACAATTTGCTCCATATGTCGACCAACTTCGATTTCCTTTATATTAAAAAAAAAGTTTCAAATTTATAAATAACAAAAAATTTTTAAAATTTTTTCTGTTAATATTAAACGATTTATCTAATATTTTACTTGAAATATATAAATAAATGTATTTTGTGTGCTTTGATATTAAAAGAGAAAAATTTTTTAATTTTCATTATTACCTCTTTAATAAGGCATTCTCCTATATAACAATATGCCAGGATTGTACTAAGTACACAACATATATATAACATAAAAGCTATAACCTTATAATTAATACCATTAACGGTATCGTCAGATTCTGAATTCTGAAATATAATTTAATCAATCATTAATTAATAATTTATAAAAAAAATTAAGTAGTACAAACTATCCCAAAATTGACGGAAAATTAATAATAAATAAAAGGATAATGCTTTAACCACTGATAAAATATAAAGATATAAAAAATAAAAAACAAATTATAGTTAAATTTCGGGAAATAATAATAATTGATAAGCTTTATAACTATTAAAGATAAATAACATTTCACAAATTATTTAGTATTTAATTGAGTGCGCACACATGCACAACATACACACATTTTTCTCCCTTTTCTCTCTTCCTCTTTCATCAGAAACATAAAAATAATAACGCTCTATTAATTTCAATTTTTTAAAAATATAATATATATTTTTAAGAATTTCATAAAACGTATATCATTATTTTGTTGATCTTTAAATTATTATACTCACCGTAATCATATTATACAAAGTTAAACAGAGCAAGAAAACAGTTCCAAGAGTTTGCTCAAGAAATAGCATATTGAAATTGTTTTCCAAAATCTCTGCTAGTCTGAAATGTACTACGTTGTTAAAATTATTAAAACACGATCATATTATTTTTGACATTAAGCTTATTATAAACTAAAAAGCTTATATATTGTATTATATATAAACATAACCATTTAAAATGCTTATACAGTTGTGACAACTTTAAGAAATATTATTTTTAAAAATAATGCATACAGAAAATAAATAAAATATAGATACTCACGTTATTAGATGATAATGCCTCAATACGATGCTAGTGACGTGACTGTGATAACTTTCACGATCTTTTAACAAATAGTTAATTTTGTACGATAATACAGCAAGTTGACCACAAATATGAAGTGCCATGGTAAGTACAAAAGCATCTGGTCCACCATAACCACATGTTATAAGTGGCAAGTTTAACAACAAGTAGGTACAAACGCACATGTAAGTACTCATATCCTTTATCTCAAAGAAGGGATGAACCGGATATGGTAGGTCATACGAGAAATTACCGGACATTACTGTACACATTATATATTAATATTTAATTTTGCGCCTTTATCTTCATTTGTTTAAAATAAACTTATTTTAACTATATATATATATATATATATATATATATATATATATATATATATATATATGTGTGGAATGCGTGTAGTATTGTAATATTTTTTAAGTATAAAATTATATATATAGAATATGGATATAAATAGAATATAAAATTATATATATATATATATATATATATATATATATATAATTATATAAAATTATATATACAGAATATGGATATAAATAGAATATATCTATCATATCCAAACAAAAGTAAATAATAACTTGACAATATTTAAATTGTAGATAATACTTTTTAAATTGTTATTATGATAAAATGTAGCATTAAATTTCACACGGTAAAATATATATATATAATGTGTACTTACTTGCACTCCAATTATCAAAAAATGTTTTGAAATAATATAATGTAGCGGCAACTGCATTCAAACTCAATGATATTTTTATAAATATCAGCGCAATGTTATTATAATACAGATATGCCATTTTTTCTTGAATATTGCTATACTTTTCCGTCAAAAAATCACTCTCAATAGCTTTTAGAAATTTGGCCATAATTTTACAACTCCGTCTGCATATGAACATTTTTCCCAATATCATTGTAAGAAGAATGTTATCCGTTAAATTTGCAACAACGAGTTCCGGTTGACTAAAATTCTTGATCAAATGGTTCAGTCCCATAATACAATAAATTATCATGTAAACACAAAAGAATATGAATATAGGTTGGTTCACTTTCAATGGCCACAACCCCAAAAAAGTCAAAAACCATTTGTTCCAAGTTATTATACTTGATGCTCGAGTGAGATCGACCATCTAAAAGTAAAGAAAGAAGAAAGTTATCATATATAATATACAATTTACAGGGTGTCCAGTAATAATCGTCCAATTTTTTCTATGCAGGTGTAGAGCCAGTTAAACTGAAAAATTCACTAACATTTAGCGATCTTTGCAATAATTAATGAGAAATCAATGTAAAAATATCGGTATGAATCAACACAAATATAAGTGTGAGGCAAGAAGAAATATTTCACTATTACACGATTGCTAAACGCAAAACATAAATAACTTTGATTATTACATCTAACACTTCGTCACTCTTTTTAAATTAATTTCGCATTAATTATTATGAAAATGGCAAAAACGTACATAACATACATATATACAAAGAGATATAAAATGATTTAACCTTGCAGCCTCCACATTGACATAAGATATATGTATTTTGAGTCACATTAATGTCGGTGATACTGTAAATTCCATGGCTTAACTCAAGAAGTTCTTGACGAAAAAAATTAAAACATATTTTCAAATTATCTTGATATAAATCACGAGAATAAAAAATAAAGATACCGATTTTAAAAATTCAAGAGGTGACTTTTACATGATTTTGATCATATGTAATGCATAGCTTAAAAAATCCTAATATTTTTATTACATTTTGTAATTAAACATTTTTTAAATGCTTATTTTCTAAAATATTTAGATGGTTTGAGGAATTTGTTATATACTTTATATACTATATTGATATTAAGATGTTAACAAAATATTTACAAAAAAAATTAAAAATATTAAAAACATTAAGTAAGATATATCGCACACATATTAATATGTCTCGGATATTTATAAAATATTCAAAAGAATTAATATAAAAGTCTTATTGCTGAAACATAATGTCGTGAATTTCTTTCTGTACTTGCATGGTCTATTTGTCGTCCATATAAGTTGAAGGTATACAGTAAACTGACCGAACATATATCATACTAACTTCGAAGTAAACTTTCCCGTTAAATAACGTGCTTATGAAATGAATAAATAACATCAATTTTCTTGCAAAATTAATAAGCCAGTCGCGCACATCTTTTCCTTTTTCTTGTCTTCTTAAATATGAAAACGAGAATCATATAAATATTCATCTCAAATATTGCAGACGAACTATAATCGTGTAATATTCTCTTCTATTGCATGTTACTCTATAACTGTTCTAACATGTAATAGCACCGTTCTCTTATATTATAGCCTTAGTCACATTCACCAAATGTCATTTTTCCGAAAAAGATGAGATCAAAGGAAGAATATTCCTATACTGTATTATAAATACGTAGTATACGTGTTTAGAATTATTATTCCATATTGTTATATTTCACGAATTTGCACGTTGGTTGGACATGTATCTGCTGGGATGTGCTGATCGAGACAAGAGACATTGTTTCTTTATTTTTTTTATTTTGTTTTCCTTTTATATATACTTACACGCATCATTGTCTCACTTTGTTTTGGTCAATCACGTGAACGGTTTAAATTTTGATCACGGGATTTCGGGATGTATCGGGCTTTTTCAGATCGACAACGAAGGCCTGCCTGTGCGGCCCGAGAGAAATTCGCACAGATCACTTGCTAATCTTCATGTCTCGAAGAGCGCATCGCAATACATAGTCGCGTATAATCGTAATAAATCAGTATTATACAAGGATCAAGTCATTCTAGTTTATTTGAATCAAACTCTCTCATACCATCGCGCCCGTACTGCTGCATTAAATAAAAACTAAAAGCCTGTGCTTCAGCTCGCATCGCCCGTGGAGATTTAAAATTATACCCGGGACTTTACACGCGAGAAGATTCACGAAACAATACGATATCTAACTATTAAGATATTCAGTGCAGAATTAATTAATAATTAATATTATAAATACTATAGTATATATCTATCAAATAAAATTCATAAAATTATATTTTAAAGGAAATATTTAGTTGTTAATAATACATATATTTTCTAGAACTTAATGATAGAATTTAAATAAATTAATATAAATATACATATATTGTCTTTTCATATACATATCATGAAAGTGAATAAAGATAAGATATACTACAAATAAGAATATTACGTTTGAAGACGGTTATACATCAGATAAAATGCATAAAATGAAAATATCAACCCATATCTTCCAAGAATAGTGATAAAGAGAAACGTGCTATCAGCAAATTCATATTCATTGGGAACACCAGACTAATCGAGAAATGCCGGAGCGTCTCGCACTTTGAATACATAAGGTGAGTCTAACAAAGTATTATAAACCGATATCTCATAAATTATTAGATAAAAATATTTTATTCAAGTGGTGATTTTTTTACGAAGAGATCATTTAAATGTGCCAATTAAATTTTTAACTAAATCTTTTCCCATTTTGAAAGAAATTAAAAAACTGTACTTTTTTGACATTTTACTGATCCTTAAATGTTTGATGTGTATTTGTTTTAGATTTTGTCATTAAATATATACTATATCTTTTTTGAAAATATAAATAATTGAATTTATTGTAATTTGTTGTTGTATATATCACTATACACAACAAGAGGAAGTAGTACATTTTGATATAATTATATGCGCGTATTCTTAGATGCTCAATTTAATAAACAATCGATTAAACATATTGGATTTGTTTATTAATGTCTGTTTTACTCTAATATTCAAAAATACAAAAATTTGATCTGGAAGTATTTTAAAAATCAAATATTTTATTTCTTACAATAAAATGAGAATAAAACAGAAAATACGAACTGTTTGTATTATAATGACGCGCCATCCATATGTTATTCAATATATAATAAAATTTTGCATATAAATTAAATATACAAACTTTTTCTTTGCATTCAAACATTCGTAGTTGCAAGTCTAAAATTATTTAAGAATTGATAAAGAGAGATGAAATTCCTGTTCGATATTATAACAATTATACTGAAGGAAAAGAGGTAGCGTATACAAATAAAAATATCAATAAAGAGGCATCAATATTTGTACAAGAAACTGAACATAATCAGTAGGAATAAAATCATATAATAGTACTCCTAATTAAGTATAGTTTTCGAGTTTAATTACAACGTGTATATTGCTCAATTAACTTTGCTTGTGATAAGAAATATCTATAGTAGGATATAGATAGGATATTAAATGTGTGATAACGTGTCATTATGATAGACTTAAAGTGCAGTGCATACCAGTGATAAGTTATTTCTTTGTTTTTATGTTAAAAATTCAGCAAAATTCGGTAAAAAGATGTGGTATAAAAGTATGTAAGTTAATAATTTTATAATATAATTATATATTGTACCTATAAGAAAATATATAAATCACAATACGAATAAGGTGTACCATTTGTTATATTATTTATTACTTTTGTGTGGCAGTAATATTTTGTGTTCGCTGGGACTATAATGAACAACAACAATCAAAGAAAATATCCAAACCATCCACGACAAAATGCGAATTTAATTTCTTTTCTCACTTTTTGGTAAGTAATCACAAATTATGTTCATGAAAAGTATTCTGAAACTAAATTAATACATAGGTGGACTCGAAAAATTTTTCGAATTGGCTATAAAAGGGATTTGAAAGAGACAGATATTTATACCACCCTTACACAAGACCAAACTAGTCATTTAGGCAAGCTCATAAGCAAAGCTTGGGAAAAAGAAGTAGAGTCGTGCGCTAAAAAAGATAATGGCTCTAAATGTAAGCCACAATTACTCAGAGTGTTATTCCACTGTTTTGGAAAATCATTGTTATTAATTGGATTAGTACAAGCAGTAATGGAATTAATTTTAAGGTATGTTCATTTCTTAATAAATAAAAACAGATAATTTATATTAATTCGTATTATTTAAATTCTGCAATTACATCTTATATTATTAAAAAAATTAAATTTTGATTTTAACTTCTTTTTCTTTTAAAATAAAAAATTTTTTTTTTTTAAATAATAATATATGGAATACATCATAAATTACATAAAGATAATTTTGTGCAACCGGCGCGCGAAAAGTCGCTCTTTCCGCACATGATGGAATTTTAGAAAGGGCTCCCTTTCCACGCATCAGTCACATAAAATATCGTAGCCAACATGTGCGGGTCGTAAATCGGCCGAGAGTGCGGATTATCACACTCGGCTTCGCCTCGTGCGCCAAACTTTCGCACTCTCGGCCGATTACGATCCTCCGCACTTGTTAGTTAATATACTATTGTAATAATTATATAAAAAATCTATATATAATTAATATACTAATATAGTGTATAGAAATAAATTATATAAATATAAATTAATCTGGCGCATAAAATATGTTTTCACAACCATGTTATATTGTAGAATATGTCAGCCATTGTTACTTGCTACATTGTTGCGCTATTTTTCAAGCGATAAAAAAAAATGGAATAACGAAGTGTATTACAATGCAGTCGGTATAATTCTATTGTCTATTCTGGATCCTATTCTTCTACATCATTCTATGCAACATATTATGCATATAGGATTGAAAATCAAAATAGCATGTACTGCATTATTGTATAAAAAAATATTGAAACTCTCTCCTTCTGTGCTAGATAATGAGACCTCTGTTGGACAGGTATATATAAATCAAGTACATAAATTTTTAAAACAGTACCAAAATAGCGTAAACTAGAGAACAAAATAAAATCTCGACATAAATAATTAATCTAAATAATTATTATATAAATCTGAATTATATAATTTCATTTTATACACTTCATTTTTAGATGGTAAATTTTCTGAGTAGTGATATTACCAGATTGGAAGCATCCATGTGGGATCTACATTACGTTTGGATGGTGCCTATTCAAGTCATATTGATTACGTATATTACATTTTCCGAAATTGGATGGGCAGCAGTTGTGGGAATGTCAGTATTTTTATTATTTATTCCACTTCAAGGTAAATCTTTTATCGAAAGTTTTCAAATCAAAGACAAATTCGTAATAAATTCAAAATAAAATTAATTTACTTATCATTAATATTATGATTTTTGGTCTGTTTTATTGTAATTAAATTACACATAAAAATCGAATAAAATTGTTTAAAAAGTGCGATTAAATTTTCATTTTTCGTTAATCGAAATTGCCAAATTTTAAAAATACAATTAGAACCTATTACGAGCAGATTGAAAATATAATTGTGTAAATCGAATATGTATATATATTTATTTTTATATATTTATATTTTAATAAAATAGTAGTACTTATATATTAGATTTGTTTGCAAATTTGTTTATATTTTTGTTACGTTAATACATTCTTCAAAAACTTGTTTAATTTAACAATTTAATCACATATTTCTGTTAATGTCTGGTTATAAAAATATGTAATTAATTTATATTTTTACTAGAATTCTATTATACTTATATTATATTTCAGTAATGTTTCGGTAATATTTTCTTATTTGATGAACATAATATAATATTATGATAGTATATATTAAATAGCATATATCATTTTAGCGCTTTTTGCAAAAAAGTCACACCTTTAACGCTTAAATCAGCAGAAAGATCAGATGCGAGGCTTAGATTGATGAATCAAATAATCACCGGAATACAAGTAATTAAAATG